AGCACATACATTATTGACATTTACGACTTTCTATGCAACATTCCTATGAGTCATGGTCTCTCCTTCAGGGTGACATCACTGCTATTCAGTCTGAACATTAGTTCACCTTTGTTGCATTTGACATTTGTCATTTTCTATGCTGCATGTTGGTACTTACTGTGAGCAATGGGAATGAGAAGAATCTGATAAGGCACAACTTAAATATACCACTTCAACAGCATGTTGTATTTAAAGCATCAGATACAGAGTCAGCAATTGAACCTCATTTGAACAGACAAGCAACAAGCACATATGTTTGCTTTCATCGCTAATTTTGTTCATGTGCTTTGATGTGTAGATTACAATGAAATCACAAAAATGATTCTTATCACTGGCAAAATTGGGTTGAATCTCAAAGCCAGTGTATTTAGACGTAAACATCAAGCAAACTTTAGCACATTACCTTTACAGCTCATGTACTGTGCCTTGCAAAAGTACTTAGACAACTTGAATTCTTCACATTTTGTCTCGTCACCATCACGAACTTCAACATATTTTATTGGTATTTAAAGTACAAATTAAATTGGAAGGATGCATGTTTTGTCATGCAAATCTGAAAAGTGTAGTGTTGATTTGTAGTCAGCCTCTCTCTGTCAATACTATGTGGAACTTTAAGATGTGCACATATTGAGACTGAAACTTTGTGAAATAGCTCAAGATCAGTCAGATTGCAGGAAGAGCATCAGTGAGCATCAATTTGAGACTGTAATTAAAAGCTATAATTGTACTGCGTTAATTCCACCAGATTTTATTTAGGCGTATCACATTAAAATGTAATGATGCACACCGCTCTTCAAGTTTGTAAAAATTTTTAAAACTATGTATCCTTTCTCTTCCACTTCACAGTTAAATGCTATTTTGTGTTGGTCTGTCACATAAAATACCAATAAAACACATAAAAAAATTCACTGTTGTAAAGCCACAAGTTGTGAAAAAGTTCAAACTGTTTGGACGGTTTTGCGAGGCACTGTAGAAAATACAGGAAGACAGCAACAGATCCAGTAGCATCCAACTCATTAGATCCAAAGCACAATGAAAGAAATAGGTTTACGTAGCAGTGCTGCTGGTCCAAAATATCAACCTCAGGGTGCAAGTTCCCATGAACAGCCAGATTCATTCAGTTCAGAGCCAATCTTCTTAGCAGTGTCCACTGGTCAGAAGGATATGGAGTTATTAAACTGCACACGCAGGATTATTGTGGGACAAGCTGATGATGGCGCTCCTTATTTGCAGCAGTTCATTGTGTAGCTTAAACACACAGCAGTTGACCAATGCGATGTTGTTTGTCCTCAGTAAACGGGGGACAAGCCATTTTATCTTTGAGGGTTTTATTCAAGGAGTGTGCAATTGCCGATACCTGTACTTTCTAGCGTCATTGAGTCCGAAACAGTGACAAAACTGTACGGATTACTCTCTTTTTTCTCTCTCTCTCCTTTAAAGTCGCCAAAGAATTTTACATTTCCAATTGTCTAATTGTTTTGTTTTTTTCTTTCGGCAGCAGCGCCCACCATCACTGCTGCCATCACACTGGACCCTCGTACCTGACTCTGCCACATCGGCAATGTCCACCCCTTGCTCTTGTGCCATGAAGCCCAGGACGGAAAATATTGCGAAGCCAGACACAAAACTGGTACCGCTGTTGAGGCCTCCCAGCAGCAAACAGTCCCTATGTCACACATATGTCATGGAGGTTGTTAATGAACACAGGTGGAACCGAAGTTCCCATTTTCTTTTCACGCAACCGACTCTCTGACAGAGCGTCGCTGTCGCTATCACAGTCCTGCTCCTCCTAGCAGAAACCCAGCTCACCTGTAGCAGTTGTATCTGTACTTGTTGTAGCTTCCCAGGGACGTCATGGCACCCAGGCAGATCGCGTAGGAGAAAAAGATCTGGGTTCCCGCATCAATCCACACCTGATGGGGACAGAAGAGATGTACGGCATTAATGCGATGGGAGGTTATAATGAAGTTCGCTTGGGTATCAAGATATGATTCCCCTAGAAGATCTTAATATAGACTTGTGTGCCACGCTCTGCTCCTAAGCAGCCATTTTAAAATGCTCTTTAATAGTATATGTTTTCTTTTCAGAGTAAAACCTTACACTTTTACTTTTTGCCCTAAACTTTGGTCATTTTTGAAACACAATAGGGAGTTGTGATTGGGTACCAGGATTACATAAAATAGCACAGTCCAAAGAAAACCTGTTGAGCTTTAGAAAGTCTTGGAACTACTGATAAATGTTATTTCAAAAAGATCATAAAAGAGTGTGGCTCCTTTAATGTATAATCCAAAGAAAACATTTTAGCACAGTACTGTCTGTTGTTCTGTAACTTTCACTTCCTGCTTTTATCCAGCTGGTTTTTTTGTTATACTTGTTTACACCTTATCAAAATGTTTTGTTCTACTAAGACATTTGCCCCTGTATTGTTCTTTTCTATGCTGTTTTGTTAGAAAGATGTGTGCTGAAAACCTGTAACACATTTTGAACATTGGTTTGTTTGGACTTTGTTAGAAGTCATTCGTCGTTTGTGTGTTTCTTTTTCATAAGTTTCATAATTTCTATGTCTATTGTTGCTTCTGACTGCTAATTAAGTGGCGCATGTGCAGTGCTCTTGTCAATGCCACCGTGGGCACTGCCACTTCCCTGAATATTACATTTCCAAGAACTAATCCAGAAGAAAAAAGTAAGACAGAATTTCAACACAGAAAGTGGTTGGACCCTCAGCAGCCTCTAGTTCAGATTGAATACTGCTGCTGTGCATAAAATACTGATCACTGCGGGTGTAAACTGTTTACATGACCAGCACCAACTCTTCTCGGGTGTGATGTCATCCCAGATCCGATATGAGAACTTCAAATCAAACGGAATCAAACGGTGCATTAAACCAAGAAATGCACCCATAGCTTGTCCAGATATCAGAATCATCCCTTGAATAACTCTCTTCCTTTGATTAGCTATCAATATAATCAGTATAATAATTTTTCACTTTTTAAAATACAAAAAACTGAAAACTTGCTCCATATTGGTTGATAAACATTGACTTTCAGTATGCACTGTGATGCACTTTTTGAGTTTAATGAAAATCAAATGGAGCTTAGAGCTTTGATCAATAAATATTATTTTTCTATTTTGTATTTTTTCTTTTATTTGTCATTGTCCTTGGAAAAACTAAGCTGCTGATCAACTCTAAATTGGCAGATTAGCCCTAAAAAAGATATTCATACCTCTGAGGACGTGTCAGACTAGAACATGTCTTATAATTTTGTTGCAGTATATTTCTATTTGTTTCCAGTTTTTCTGCTAGGATGTAAGAGGGACTGTGAAAAAAATGTGTAAAATGATGTACAAATGTTTTCATTTCCTAATCTGTAAAAAAAGGTTGCATTAACATCCATCTCTGATTATTATGAGATGTGTTTGGAACCTACCTCTGGATCCTGGAGACGGGTCACGTCTGGGTAAAGATAAAACTTTATGCCCTCAGCCGCTCCGGGTAGGGTCACTCCACGCACAAGCAGGATGATTAGCATCACAAACGGAAACGTTGCTGTGACGTACACCACCTGCACAGGACAGAGACATTTTTTTGCTGAAAAATCTCTTCAAAAGACAGTCAGGTAAACAGTTTTTAGCATACAGGTGCATAGACCATTCAAATATCTTACTTCAAGTTCCCTGATCCACTGTAATTAGCTCATATGAAACTCTACACTTCCTCAACTGGTGTTTGGTCAAACAGTTTTATGGCTGTGCAATCTACTAAAGGATTTTGAGGTGCAAACAGCTCTTGAGTTAATAATTTTCCTCTTGTCCACCATAAATGTATTTCTTTCATCCAGACAGAATAGAAAACTGGACAAATCAGTAACACACATCTGTTTACACTGAAGCCTGACTGATGAAGAAGTAGCTTTCAGGACAACCTAAGGGTTGGTGTCTGATTGATCTTGTTCCCCAGCATGTTGTTTTTTCCCTTTTTCTAAGCAACTGTGTTTTCTTGCTGGCAAGGGTACAAAACACAAAGACCAAACAGCATCCAGGCAACACAATAACTACAGGAAGTGCGTCCACTTGCTTCAGCACTTACTTTCCCAGTGGACTTGACCCCTTTCCAGATACAGAAGAAGCAGATAACCCACACTGCCAGGAGACACAGAGCTAAGTCCCACTTTAGGGGCCCAATGTCCTCAATGCCGGTGGAGAGACTGAGGACGTTGCGTCTGCAGAGGAAACAAGGGTGCAGGACAGGTTAGAAGCAATCCAGGAGATGTGACACAGCAGGTGTTATTTTTAATAAACACTCAAGTATGTAGGTTAGCGTTAGAGGGATATGACGAGAAGCTATAAGTAGAGGAAAGGATATCAAACAGGCACATGTCCTGGCCTCCCTGTGTTGTTCAGCAGCTCTAGCATAGGAAACAACAGAGTGTAAAAGCCTTTGAAGCTGAAGCTCCTGTCACATTTAGAGGTGTGAGGAAGGAAATACATGGTGAGAATTTAATGTAATTTGTTGCAGGTTTTAGCTTCATTTATGACAATATAGGGCTGGAAACCGAGAACATTGCAGAACTACGTTGTGCAAGAAATGAGCCTGACCAAACATGTTTACGCAACAAAGATACAGAGGCAGTATTACTTCAGTTTATTCACGTGCGTGAGCATGCGTGGGTGCGTGCATGTGTGCCTGCGTAAGCTGGCCGCTCTGTCAGTGAATACTCACTCCCAGAACTCGGTGACTGGGGAAGTAAAGTTAGTAATGTTGGCCGCCAGCCAGAGGGTCTTGTTCTTGCGGATCGTGTCCTCCACACAGTGTTCCGTGTTCCACGGCTGCTTGCATTTTGCCCAAGGAAGCTCGGGCTGAAAGCACTGGAAGAGGTAGTAGAGTCCCCAGGCCAAGATCACGATGTAGTAGATGTTCAGAAGAGAGACAATCACGATAGAAGCGTAGCCGATACCTGCAGGATTTTCAAAGAAGCATTTCCTTATTAAAAAAAACCTGCTGGAAAAAATGGCACAGGATAAATCTGTGTGCAACTTTTTTAGTACTTTGATATATAGACCTAGAAAATGTGAGAAGTGTGAAATAAATATAGATACAGGTACTTCAGTAGAGTCCCCAGTAGCTACTGATGGGGACTCTGCTGAGTCTACTCTACTGAGTCCCCATCAGTAGCTAATGATGGGGACTAGCTTCAGAGCTACTTCTCTGGAGTAGCTTCACAACTTCAGAGAAGATAGGAAATAATAACTTTAGTCACAAACTTCAAATGAGATAAACACCTTCAAGTTTTTCACCATGAACCATTGACAGACTGTCATTTATCACGTGCTTTGTCGGCCATAAAATAAAGCAAATACTTAGAATAAGGAGCATAATTCTCTTAAGAAGGAGCTGTCCTTTCCAAGAAGTTACCTGCATGTCTTATTTTTTTACCTAAAGCCAACTTCACAACTTCTGGAATATTGCTGGAGATCCAAAGGCTGAAGACTTCTCTAAACAACGATCTGTGATGTCAAGAGGTGCAGCCGGATGAGCTTTATTTAAACTGCAGCAGCTGGCTAACTAAATAGCTAACTAAAAACGGAGGTAAATGTCCTCAGCTTGAATGGACTTTCAACTGTAGCGTCCTTGGCGTATTTCTGTTATTTTTAGATGACTTTGCTTCAAACCTGAACACTGAACTCCCCAACCAACCTCCCCACCCTGTCTGCACTCATCCACCACTCTGGAGTATTTTTAAACTTATCTTCTACGTCACCACCACACCCACCTCCTCATTCCCGCATACCGATTGCAAACTGATGAATAAGTCTGTGCCGTGGCAGGTGTGCCTGCACTTGACTTTGTGTAGAGGAGCTGTGGGGAAAAAGAATCCTGGATTCCCAGTGTGCTTTGATCAATGAAAACAGGAAACACCTGATTTCTTGCTTCAGTCTTTCTGCATCCGTAAGACACAGGGCTGTGAAGCTTTTTTTTTTGTCATTTTATGCAATGTCTCTCATGTGGACATGACTAACTGTGTCACAGCAGCTAATGGGGCGTGGTGTGCTGCTACTGCTTCTCTACAGCTGTCCCTCGAAGTTAAAAGGGGCCACATAAACGCAGCAAGAGGACAAACAGTGTGCACAAGGCACATGTCAGTGTGAAATTCTCACAGTGTGACATACGTGAGTAAAAATACCGCAAAATGCCATTTTGCGTTTGTGCTCTTTGTAGTGAAACGCAAGTAAAACAATCTGATAGTGACTGGCTAATTAGTTGCGTTATCTTCTCACGTAGCTGGCCTGCATTCAACGGGCAGACTGCTTTTAGTTGGCGAAAAGTCATTTTAAGACAGTGTTTCTTTAATTTCCACCCCTTGAAATCAAAGTCTTCTTTCAGCCAGCTGACCCACCAACAGGTGGGGGAGGGGCCCCTGGATAAAATTGTCCTTATCTGACATTGAAAGAAGCTTAAACCTTAGAAACAATGTGAAATCATTGCTTCTAAGTAAATCTTTGATTTACAAATAATTTACAAATAATTTACAAATAATTATTATTCTTAATAATTGATTATTCTATTCATTACTCTGACGAATAATTTGATTAATCATTTCAACTGGGTTTCAGAAAATGCAGTATTTATGATTCTACCAACTGAAACTTCTTGTTTTTTTTTTGTTATTTAAGATTGATCAGTCTCTGTTTTGTCCTTATTTAACCCAACTGCCCATTTCTCCACTTTAATTTCACAACCAAACAGAAAGCAACGACGTCTTTTGTCTATTTAACACAAAGAATTGCTCAAGGATGCAAAGAGGAACAAGGGAAATTGAGCCAAGAAGATGCATCACATGAGATGACGGCTCTGCAAAGAAACGTTGTGATTCATTTTTCTAACAGTTCATTTCTAAGGTAACTATAAACAAGATCCATCATGTTCAATTAACTGAATTTAATCTATGGTTTGAACATTAATGTGGACCAGCATTGAGAAAAAGGATGAAGAATGAGCACGCACAAGATGTGTTTGTCCACATGCTATATTGTGGCCTCAGATTAATTGCTTTTAGAGGTTTCACATAAGACAACTTTAGGTAAAAAGTTGGATTTATATGGATAATGGATGTACGGGACCAATTCTTTGAATATCGCTAGATAGCCAGCTAAAGGGACACGTGCACATGATTGAGTTTTCTGTAGGTGTGGGTATGTTCGTTTGTGTATTTGGACCAACCAGTAAAGATGGGGCAGAGCTTGGCCCAGCAGGTTATCCCCCCCTCAGAGGTGTACTGACCGAGCGCCACCTCCAAGAAAAACACAGGCAGCCCACCTCCGAAAAGGAAGATGAAGTAGGGGATGAGGAATGCACCTTGGAAGAAACACAGGGGAATGATGTCAAAGTAAGTCATTTTTGACCGATGAAACCCTTTAAAGTGCAACTTGCATCTGAACCTACCTCCACCATTTTTATAACAAAGATAAGGAAATCGCCACACGTTTCCTAATCCAACAAAGCCTCCGGCCACGGACAGGACAAAGTCGAGCTTACTGGCCCACTTCTCCCTCTGAGGAACTTTTCCTTCAGCCTCGTCCTCAGGTCGGGTGCCTGGGCTCTTCCCGGGTGAAGGTTTGAGGGTGTCCTTATGGAAGTCCTTTAGGCATTGGAGCTTCTCTTTTGATGCCATGCTGGGCAAAACAAAAGGAAAACATGCTAATCATGGAATCAATGAAAGGAGACTCAGAGGTGAGAGGGATAACAGCAGACAGGGAGCGGCATTAACACAGATAATACTGTTCCCTGAATGCCTAGCGGCATGCTGTGTGAGCACATGAGATGCAGAGCAATGCTGGTAATCCCTCTAATCTGAGAAACCAATGTATGAAGGTCATTCAGACGGAACATTGGGAAGTTTGAGACAGAACAAAAGTGAATCAGCAGAATATTATTTGTTTGGCCATCCTTCATAAATAACACCATCTCACAGTGAAACTGATCCAAAGTATTTTCTAGAATATTATTTAAGGTATTCAAGTCAGGATACTGTGACTGAGGGGAGGAAAAAAGACAGGCTTTTAGTACCTGCCCTGAACCTGAGGGGAAAATATCTCCTGCTCGCAATGACTTAGGCCAATTTTAAGCTGTAAAATATTCCTCCCACATCCCCAAAGCTGTGGCTGCTTTCAGGAAGCTACTACAGCTTAAGTTCACTTTAGTGTTTACACTGTAAACCGCCTTTCCAAGAAAGACGAGCTTCGTTATTCCTGACCAGGGTGTTGGATTTCCCCACATGATCCTGACGAGAGAAAGAAACCTCAACAAGAAGAGGCAAGACTGAAAATAACCAAAGTTCTCAGCTCGAGTAAGGAATAAAAGAGGGGTGCAAAGGTTATATTCGAGGTTTCTTTAGAGAGAAACGAAGCAAGGGAGACTTCCTTCTCTTTTGTCACAAATACAGAAGTCAGCAGAGCAACACTAAGTGCTTCCTCTTAACTCAATGTTTACCACCAAATGAATGTCAACTCCGGAAACTCAGACAAAAGAGCACATTCAGAAAAGAAAAGCAAACAAGGAGATGATCCAACCATAAACTGATGATAACTTGAAACCACATTTCTATAAATAGCACACAAAAAAATCATTCAGTCAAAAAGTAATTATCCCCCCTCTCATGAATGGACACTTTGACCAGAAAACCAGCTCTCACATTCCCACCGGGATCCCTGTGCCTCCTTGGTTAATTGGCACTGCGTTGCACTCCGTGTCCCGTCATTTTCAGGGATTTCTCCCTTTTTGTTGTGCATGACAAGTCAACTCGAACCGCTTTGCATTCTCAAACCTGCTTACGTAACTGGATCAGTTCTCGCACAGACTCTGTTTCTCATCCTGTTTGCTTTCCTCCTTATCCCTTTCTCTCCGTTTCCACTCGCCCTGCTCAGTGTGTACGCCTCCACCTGCCTGCTTGCCATTTCGAAGCTGTCAGAGAAACCTTAGTACAGGCCATATCTGTGACTCAACTCAGATTTGATTCAGAAGCGGATTTTTTATTTATTTATATTTTTTTTTTACCGTACCAACAGAAAAACATTACACTGCTTCAATTCTTTCTTTCAGTCAAAGACAAAGTAAACATTTAACAAACAGCATCAACAATATAATTGACGTGCTTTTTAATTTAGGCTATTTTTAACTTATACAGATAGGAAAATGAGCACATGCAAACTCAATAAAAATGCAAAAACTTACATTTCCTTCATGGCTGCGGCTATGTATAGTGATCCTCTCTCTCAGCTGTCACCATTCCTCTGTACTGAATGCCTTTATGCACACACGGGTCACAAGAAGTGGAGCTGACAGCACAGCCCGCCCCTTGGCTAAAGACAATTAAATCCAAAGTAGAGATTGGACACAGCCGTACTGTGACAGTCAACCCAGGTACCAACGTAGGAGACTGTAAATTTCCACTACTCCCTACCCTCAAACATATAAACACACACACACACATACGCACACACGTACACACAGTGCAGAGTGGTGGTGTGGAGGCTGGGTGAGTGAATGTCTCACAAACAGACACACACACACACACACTTCTTATTCATGTTGAAGACACAGAGGACATTTCAGAGGAGAAGAAGGGCTGAGCTGCTCCTTTACTGTGGGAGGGCTTTGATTTATGATCTGCTGTAAAAAAAAAAAGAAGAAAAAAATAGAGGATGCCGTGAGAGTTTGGGTATTTTCTGCATATTCTAACAAACAGAAACAGAAACACAAAACTTTCATATCAAACCCTTCCTTTACGAGGCACAGTTATAGCAATGGCAGTATTTTTTTTTTCTTCTTTATCCGTGCTCTTGCGACATGTGTTATCTAGGAAATATAAACAAGGACTGTATCAACTTATAACAAAGCCTAATACGGCAATGTGTCCTCTCTGTTTGTCCATGGTTACTGCTCAGAGAGTTCACAATGGTTGTCTAAAGGCTGCTGACATGTAGCAGTCAGTTAACAGCTGAAAGATTCCTCTGCAGGCAAGGTTAAGCAGGCGGCAAAAAATCAGCAGAAATTAAAGCTTAAACACCTCCAAGTCAGTATGTGCCCAAGTCATGGCGTTACATTGTAGAGGAAACGTATTTACCGCCTTTGAGCTTTTCCGTTTTTTTTTTTTTTTTGTTTTTTTTTCTCTCTTTAGTGCTTCAGATGATCAAGCAAGATTAAAATCAGAAAACACGAGCAAACACAAAATGTGGTTTTCAAATGATGACTATTTGGCAACAACAACAACAAAAACTAGTTTATACATAATCTCTTTGTGATTTAGCAAATTGTTTTGGAAAGCTCAGGAAAACTTTACAAGTCCATCCAGGCCTGAATGTTGCCCGACCTGGAGCAGTGAAATACCTGCTGAGCAGAACTTGTCTTACACCGTGAAACAGGATGAAGATCTTAAGATGCAACACATCATGTGAGGAGCTGTAAGAAATCCAAGGACACATGGAAAATAAAAAGTCCTTGACATCTATCAATCTGGAGAGGGTTACAAGACCATTTTTAAGGCAGTGAACCACAGCGACGGTACACAAACAAAGAAAACTTGAGGAACAGAACCGCTGCCACCAAGGTTTATGGGACTATTGCTTCTCCATACAGAACCAGGTTGGTTTGAATATATTTATTCCTTTAGTAAATTAAATCATTTTGAAACATTAAAATTATAATTCTTCTCAAAGGCTCAAGCTTCAAAGGCTGGCCGCTGGGAACTATTTGTTACACACCTCCAGCTGAAAAAAAATCCAACAAGCCTTGAGGGGTTTACCTGCTGGGGGCGCGGATTTGGGTTACCTGCCTGCCAATCATACGATGAACACACGCGACCAAACAGAGGCCGGAGAAGTAGGTTAAGATTCCACCACTCATCATCACATATAAGCCTGTAAATGTCTTACTTCATTAGACCTACTTCCCAAAAGTGAACAAAACAAACGTTTATCTCTGTATTTATCACTTCTGGTTGTGAAACTACATCTGGAAAAACACAACCAATACTACTTATGTATTTCCTCCACATCATGGTCTGAAGTCTGAACACACTAAAAACGGTCACAGCAGATATTTCAAAAGGATCAAACACATTCAAGGACTGCTGTCTTATCAGGTATAAACACAGAGAAGCCTGGTTCAAAGGCCAAACCGGCGCTTTTTTTTTTTTTTTTTTTATTGCTGAAACGTTTACTTAGGCTGGGCTTACTGAAAGGTTAAAACATGTTAGCCTTTCAGGAGAAGTCTGACAGAAATGAAAATAAGGGTCCAGTGAAAGACAACAGAACTGTTGCCATCAGCACGTAAACGCACATCCGCCTGCAGCCACAGCAATGTACAGATCCGGTTGGAATGTCACACAGCAATGGTTCAAAGACATTTTAAAATGTTAAGCAGTTTTAAAGTTATTTTTCATATTCTAAATTATACCCCACTGCTCATATGATGCTTCATAGTTTGTATATGAGACAGGGCAAGAATCAAAGAACACAAATATGAGGAGAAAATAAATCATTTTTTTATTAAAATGAGTCAAATTAAAATCATTCAGACACACAAGGTGACATATAAACTTTCATATTCATTTTGAAGTGAAGACATTGCACAAGTGAATGGAAACATTTACTTAGATTATTTGCATGGTGGGCCCGCACTCTTCAGATCCACAATCATGTTCTGCCTTCCTTACAATGTAAACCTGCATTGTACATTTTAACACTGTTAACAGTGTCTTTATGAAGCAGCCAACCAATTCCCTGGAGTTTCTGTGGTTTCACCCACAGAGAACAAAAGACCTGTCAGCACGGCAACTGAATACTGACGTTAGGGGGAAACAGGAAAGTGACTGGGAGGCAAAAAAATGCAGGTTCAAGCACACTGTGCTTGTTTGCGCAACAAATCTTGAATCTAAAGTAGTTGGGCAATGCATGAAAGTTTATTTAACTTACAACACGTTAGAATAGCAGGTAGATCAACAAAAAAAAAAACCTTACATGATGAGGAAATTCATAGTAATTTCCAAAGACAAATGTGCGGTCCGCTTAGCCTCTGCTTCACAAAGCTACATAACTTTAGCAAAGTATTTGATTCTTGTTTACATAAGTAAGTTTTTGTTTCTCACCCTAAAATTCGACACTAATCCCAATTGAAAGATTCAAGCATCATAAAAATGATTCAGTGTTTTATGTTGCGACATAAAACAGACATCCATTAAGCCATCACAGTTTGTGAATCACTTTCACACGGCTTACTGCTTCATGACTACAGGTGATTTTGTGTTGTGGAAACATAGCAACGTGCTTTTTCCTGCATACACCACCTTGAGCGCTTTTAGGACGTAGGAGACACTAAGTAATCTTTGACCTAGGACCAATGCATGCTAAGAGTATTCTCACCCCACATTTTTGAAAACTTAATTTAAATTCAGCAACTATGTTAAATTTCTTTCTGAACTCAGCAGAAACATCTATCGTATCCATTTGGGAGTGAATGTTTGCAGAAATATCAACAGTATTGTAGGCACAAATCTTAAAGTTTATCTCTGGGTAAGTTAACTTCTTAAATCACCTTATTACTAGTTAGTCAACATCTGTATAATTTGTGTCACCAGACAGGTCAGGAATAAAGCTGAAGAAGACCTTAAAAAGTATTGAAAACCAATGACTTACTTCATCATGAACATTTGTGAGTTTTAACATAAACAAAGATCCAAGGACAATGAACAAAGCCGACTACTGTTGCTGCTTCAAGTCATGTGACTAGGACAAAACTTTTCACTTGACCCATGCAGGAAGGATCCAGGGTTACCTACTTTCCTGAATTCTGATGCTTTAATGACCTTCTCTTATTTTGTACAATAAATCGTAAAAGAAACAAAAATATCCAAGGAGTCAGATACGCTTATTTCTCAACCAATGGTGGATTTACCAGGTCAAAGTCTTTGGTGATCAAACAGACACATTGAACATCGTGGACAATGTTCAAAAGCAAGAAACTCAATTTATGTTTATTGCAGCAAAAAAAAAGTGGAGATTTACAATTTACTAAAGCTGGCACCTGCCCTATAAAGGCCAAAAACACTGATTCCTTTTAACGTCTTCACATAATCAAAAAGCTCTAAGGGATTACTTTAAGTTTATCCCCAGTTCTGTTTGTTTAAACAATATTATAAAGAGAAACTCCAAATCCAAACAGTCCACTTATAAAGAGTCTATTATGTGTGAAACCAGACAGAATGTCGACCCAGCAGTGTCTCAGAGACACAAAAGCTCTGATTATTAGGTAAACATTAGAATGGAAGTTTATGAACTAAAATTAAAGAAAGAAACTGTTAGGAGTCTACTTAGAGCCTGAGCCTATTAAAGAAGGTCATAGTGTAACTCACCAAATCCCATGTACTCTGAGTCACTCTGTATGTGTCTCAACAAGATTTCTACTGGAAACTTTTGATTGAGTTTCTTCAACTCAATAATTCCCTAAAATGAATTTTTGTGGTGAGTACATGTTGCGTAAATGTAATTCATGTAAAACTTTTCCAAAAGTCTTGCAAATAGACATTGGTTCAAGGGTTTTAATTTTAGTGTACCAAAATCAGACCAAAGTTATCATTGTACCTTTCATCCTCAGCAGATCAAGTTAAAGGTTGTAACTGTAGATTGTTCAGCAGTCCTCTTTTTTGTTTACATCTGAAGAGTTCGAGACCAGAGGTTGACTTGGACAGATTTAGCTCATCTGTTCTTAGAGGTCTGTCTAAGGGCAGGACAGTCACATGGTGACTCTGTAATCCTGTCTCACATGCAGACGCCGTTGTTATCTCTTCATAGCTGACAATGTCCGATGCCAAACATGCTGGTAAGCATGAGATCAAACCATCCACAAACACTGAAGAAGGAGGGAAAACAAAGGGTGGCTGATGCAGTAAAAATGTATCAGATCTGCATCTGATGGACACAACTTTTAAAGGCATCCGGAAGATCCCGGAATGTCGTGTTTCTGTGACGTAATGTAGGTTATCTTTACTAGGCTTTGTCAGGGAACCAGCTGTCTTGGACAAAGCTGACTAATGCGACCACTGCTCGCTTGCTCGTCTTTGCCCTGGCTGCTAATGCTCAAGAGAGCATGTAAGGCTTAATCCCATATTACCGTGGCTATGTTAAGTGTAAGGCCCTGACAGTGACACTTCCAAAGCAGAACCTAGAGGAAAGCAGAGACATAAACAGCATACCAGCTTAATAAACATGAGCTTGAGTCAGGGTTAAAGAAATCTCAGGGTGCTGAAAGGATGCGGCAGTAATATGATGGAACCCTCTCTTTTTATTAAAATACTGTTACATCTTCACAGGGTGAAAGACATACACTATAACATTTCCATGGATGTTAGTGTTGAATTTAATATTTTCAGGTAGAATTTGTGGGTTGCTGTGTTGTTTATATTGATTGTGACTATTATTAAACTTCAACTTGAAAAATTAGGTAAAATGAAGTAAAAGTAGAATTTACAAAACAAAATATGTTCTTTTAAGTTGTGCATCACCTGAATAAAATCATGAAACAGGATTTTTAAAAATATATATCATACATTTATTTAAACAACAATAGAGATGATGCCAAAATGACATTATTTGCAGCAATTCTCTCCAAAAGTGATATTGTATATTTTATTTGACATTTGTCTTTATTTGACAATTTTCTTACATGGATTCAAATTTTTGGGACAAATAAAATACAATTTATAACTTAATTCTACCTACATTAAATCAGCAATTATTAATGATCCACCTATGGTTAGAGGGCTCAACTCTCACACAACAGGCTTTTTAGATTTTTAGAACTACTTTTTATTGCGAAGTTAATATTTTTCCTAACTTGTGGCCCCCAATAACTATTAGGAGAAACAAAAATAGCTACATCTGGACAAACTGAAAACAAATCGGTATTCTGCATATATGAATGTATTCTGCATATCGGTATTCTGTACTCTTGCAGCAGAGCTCATGTTATCAACTTTCTGTCTGGCCTCATGTAGTCATTTCCATCTGCTCTGGTATCTTATGAACGCTACGTGTGAGCTGCATAAAGAGGGTCACTGAGATGAACATGTTGTTGTGCAGGAGAACAGATGGTGTGAATGACACAACTCTGCATGATGTGTGCACGTCATCAGGGTACTATATGTGGTCGGGAGACTAAAACCAAGTGAGACGGAAGAAACTTATGGAAAAAAAAAAATCAATGGAAAGAAAAAGCTCTCCTAGATGGAAACTAAAATGAAAAAAGCATTCAAACTTAGCAAGTAAGAAAATATGTGTTTGCTCCGTAACTGCTCAAGGACATGATTTTTTCCCCCCTTAGACTGTATCACATTTGCAAGTAAAAACATAGGTTGAAAAGCAGAGTTCTCGGACAATACCAAATAATGAATTGCGCTATCAGCTCTGGTTTGCTTTTGTTTAGTGGAATGGATGATTAAAGAAACAAAGCATATTGGCAGTTTAACAATTCATTGGTTTGAGTAAGCAGTACATCGCTGTGCTGCTTACTCTTCATCAAGCAGGACGCCCAAACTGATCGTTCAGGTGATTAGGAAGGTTGAGGTCAGGACAACAAGCAGGTTATTTCCTTGCTTCCATCACTGAATTCTGGAGGTAGCCTCTGGTAAGACCTCTGATAAGACCACCTCTTTGGGAGTTTAGTCTTTAAATGTGGAGTCATTACATACTTAAAGGGTTGAAGAATCTCATCTTAGTGCAACTCTGTATTGACATTCCCTTCAGTAATGACAAGCCTTGTTTTTCCAGTGAGGTATTGGGGGGGATTTGGAAAGTTTTCCACAGATAAAACTCACATCCTCAACTCTGCTGCATGATCCACAGTAAAACACGTGTTTTCCTTGCAACTGCTGCCCTATTTCAGAGGAATCAAACAGACTTTCCAACTGTGCAAGATTTATTGCCTTGAAACATTGTTACAAAAAGAAATAATGGAACAAATACAAATACAAATCCTTACTTTTCATATTAAGAATTCTATCTTTAACTAATACTCTTCCCTCTGAAGTTTACTGTAGTTAGTCACAGGGTTGTGACTCAAAGCCAAGAGATCATTTCCTTTGTTTTCTTCTTAAGGTAATGTATTAGACACACTACAGGGGAGATAAATACGGGCCATTGTTCTCCATGAAGAAAAGGCATTTAAAAAGAAAATTACTGCTTGGATTAACATTGTATTTCAAAACACAACGGGCCATTAAGAACACATCTTCTTTTGTCTATGGTGAGAGGATACAAATACCATCATTACTGTTTTAAATTGTCTGTGAAGTTAAACCTTTACACATCACTGTGTTGTGGATAATACAATTACAAAGGGCAAAAAGGGGAATTTGATTAATCGCCTGTCAGAGTACTGGTTTTGGTGCCGCGCTGACTATGGGATCAGAGTCATGTTAACGGAAAGCATAGTGTCATCTGGATGAGCTGGCAAAAGAAAGAAAAATAGACTACCCCAGAGCACTGCTCATAAGTACAGCCCTGCCTTCAGCTCAGTCTCAGTTTAGCATATTAGTAATGCTAATATGTTAATCAAGACAACCCAGCTAAATATCACTACAGGGCATTTGACCTTACGTAAAGATGAGCTGATGACAGGGATAGAGGTTAAGCTTCAAATACCACTAAAGTCATAAGGATTATATTAATTAGGGTTGAGAGGAGTCAGTCATTCAACCAGCACTCAAATGCTCTTCATTAGGGCCACAAGGGCATACATTAGACTACTTATTCAAGAGTGAATATGCAGTGGTAAATATCCTGTGAGTCCTGAAGGTAATCACGGGATATTACCTTCGGGAATATCCCGCGATTACCTTTAGGAATTTAACATCAAATCCGTAAATCATGACAAAAACATAGTTTCATCACCACATCTTAAACTATCAGTTTTATCATTTTGAAAAAATTGATGCCTGGCCTGCTGCTTAAAAAAACTGTAGAATATTTATCTACTTGTGTGTTGAAGCACTGGATTTTACAGGACAGGTATGTATAGTTTTTACAGTAAAGTGTTGTTAATTCATATACCTTATGTATAGCCGCTCCAAATAATAGTGTAGCAGCATAAATGGTACGCTGCCACTTTAAGGCCAATTTCGGCTGCTGCATATAAGCAAGCCTTCACCTGTCATGAGGCTGCTTGCGTCGTGACGTCAACTCCATCTGCTTCCTTTGTTTGCACCGTTCTGGGTAAGCGTGGGTGTTTTGTTGTCGGCTTTAATAGTAGTTATTAATGCTAACTGGTCTATCTGCTTAGCCTCCTTTGCTGCACCTTCAATATCTGGACCGATCTGTCTGTTCATTTGTTTGCTGACAGGAAGGTAAGGGCTTGGCGTGCCTAGGCAACATCTACCCCATGTAAACAAAATCTTCACATAGCGTTTTCTTACAGTTGTACTGCATCTTGTATTAATTTGCTCCATTATTTTTAGCCTTCTGATGAGTCTCTAATCAGCATTGCACCTGGAGTGACACTCGCTGCTGTTTTGCCTACCTATAAAATATTTTAAAAGACCAACCTGAACTTTCGCTGCTGCCGGGAGCATTGATGGCACTACAAATGGGATGAAGTGCAATATTGTAGTGCTTTTGTGTCACTGTTAAACTCGTATTTCATTTTTTTTTTTCTTTCTTTTAGGGACTGAGGCTTCTGTGGTGACCCCTGGTGGCGGTTTCTTGTGTGTTTTGTTGGAGCATCTTTTTCTTTGCTGTTTTTGTAGTGTCCAGGGTGGTCCCTTTTTCGTCACTGGATGTTGCCCCCTTCCCTCACTACTTGCCCTATTGATAAGCCTCGGTTTCCTTTGAAATTTTAACATTTTATTACAATAAATCTTGTCAAATGCATTCACTGTTTTAACCATTCAATTTCAGGTTACTAGAAATAAAATAAAAAATAAAAAAACAAACATTGAAGTTTAATTTTTGGTAGAACTTTCTGAATCTCTTCTCATTTCCAGCAGAACTTGCCTGTGTCCTTATTGCATTGCATTTTCCTGGAGTTATTCCAGGTGGTGGTGTTGGTCATTGTAACCTTTAATGTTTTATATTTGTGTTGATAATAATAAAATCCACCCCAGGTTGCCACAAGATGGGTGCATTCTGGCTACATTCAAGTTGTAGAAACATCTTGATCAGTGAAAACATCTTAATTTTAAGCTTCATGGCAAATTCTTAGTCATTACATTAATGTAATTTCTTGGGGGTTTTTTACTTTTAATTTTGTAAAAACATATAACTGGGTATTTGTTTAAAGAACTTAAAGGAAAGAGATTAGTGCATTTTGGAATAAGTCATGACAAAGTGGTAAACTTTCCAGATGAATTGCGAGTGTATAAAATCCAGGTACACAGGCTCCGACTACAAATATTTATGAAGGAATACATTGAAATCAAGTTTATTTTGCAATCAGGTAGTATGAGAAGAATAATGATGGCACTGCAGCAAAATGATCAATGTGAAATTGCAGAACCATAAGGCCATAGTTTGCTGAGGTTTGAATACTGTTGCATTGAAGGTGCAACAGTATTCCCTATGAGAGAAAATGACACCTTGTATGGCATACTTTGGATGTTTATGGCTGTTAAAAATTCACACACAAAATAAACTTTAAAACATCATCCTGTTCAAATTATTTTTTACATAGGATCATTGCAGATCCGTGGCAGAATGTCACTTCGTTCTGTGCGATTTCTGCAGCTGCTGTTCACACATGCACTTACCAGCGGGCGATTTGGTGCTGAAAATGTGGTCTCACAGCTGGAAGCTGGAACATCTGGGAAGAGTACAGAGAATGCTGCACATGATGTAGAAAGTGTGTGGATATCTCATGCCTAGACAGTTCAAATCAGGGTTATTGATAACACCAGGTGCACTGGAATATCTCCACATCTGCAGCAAGCAAATGCAAAACAAAACTTAGGTCAGAGAGATATCAGTATGAAGCGCAAATTTACCTTCCTTCAGTGCCTTAATATAAAGAAAAGACGAGTACTAAATTCAAAATGAGTGGAAAATACCAAAAAGTATTGGGTCAGCCATCAAATGGTACAATTCAGGTGGCTGTGTAAAATTAGTGTGGTCAATGAATGCAAGGACCAACCACCACTATGCATTGTCACGATAGCTCAAGGAACAGTGGGTACGTTTCCGTGAACCCTTTCAAGTTTGCAGCCAGTGCACAAAGCAAAGTCCAGTATGAGAGAGTTTGGTGTGGGAGAACAGGCCTGCACATTGTCCTACTTTCAACTCTATAGAGGATCTCTGGGATGAGTTGAACAGCTCCCCTTGTCCAGCATCAGTGTCTGATCTCACAAATGCATTTATGAAAGAAACCTCAGATATTCCTATAAACACTCCTAAGCTTGGTGGAAAGCCTTCTTGTAAGAGGTACAACTGTTGTAGCTACAAAGGTTCAAGTGACATTTTAAAGCCCATGGATTAAGAAAGGGAAGTCATTCATCTTTATATGTGTGGGATGCAAACACATAATGTGCAGAACAAATGCATTACTGCTACTTTTTTATCACTTACAGTAATAAAGGCTACACTTCATGTCTAAAACAACTAAACTGATTTTGTCAGCAATTAGTTTTCACACCTCACGTGGCTCCTCTCAGCCTTGAGGTTTCTTTTGAAGTTGAAGTCTTTCAACATTGACTTTAAAACAGATTCTCCAAGGGAAACTGAACAACATCTAAAGCATAATGTCTGTTTGTCTGAAGCAGGATGCAGCAGTCCAGATTTTCCCACCCAAGAGTAAAAACAAAAGTGAGTGGCTTAGCAACAACTATAAAACATTTGGGGAGGAATCTCTGAGTGAAAACTAATTGGATTGCTTATTTCTTATAAGCATTCAGCAGGCACAGGCTGGAAGCCAGCAGTTTTGTTTTCTATAGGATGGCGACAGTTTTGAACTTCACCGTAATTTGTCCTAACAGCTGCTCCGCTGCACTGCTGTGATTTGAGCTCATAACACAGGGGGCTCCATTAAGCTGATGTACAGCTTTGTTATTGCCTCCTAGAGTCTTTGGAATGAGCCTGATGGAGGCTACATGGGTGCAAGAGACAAAATCTAGAGCAAAATACGCAGGCCAGCATGCATACAGATCTGAGCAAAGACATGCATGCAGTGTCACTTATTTACATCCTATCCTTCATGTTGCAGTGAACTTGTGAAGATTGTGAATGACTGTGAAATGACTCCTTTCAGACAACATTCCCACAAGTCCAGAGTCCTGGCTGGATAAAACCCTGGTTCACAGAACATGGTGAAGTCTTAAATGCAGCCACTCTACTGAGAGGAAGCCCTCAAGCTTTGAAAGGCTGCGCTTGAAGATAAAATAAGAAATGCTGCCATCTTCAGGCTGCCAATAGAACTCCTTCCGGAAGGTGACCTATGTTGCATCACATCTCCTTTATTATTAACAGAAATGCACAAAATGTTGACTTTTTTCTTTGAATCGGAATTGTTATTTTGACTCTGCAAAGAAATGCAAAGACAAATAAATTGCAACTTTAGCATCTAGTTCTTGTTTTTAAAACTGATTAAGTTTATTGCATAATTCTTCCCTGAAAGAACAGTAGAAATAATTAAAAGCCTAAATTTAATATGACAGTCATGCTGACAATTGTAAATAAACTTCTAACCAGCATAGTAAGATGAATGTCTAAGAGACTACTAAAAAATTTGATTTAGTCATTTATGAAGCCAAATAATAATGCAAGTTCTAATGCAAGACCTCGAGAAAATATTTTTACAACAGGAGATAAAAAAAAAATAGACAGCACTGTTCACAACTTTTATTTTATTTACTTGCTACACACATAAGGCAAAATGGGTTTGCTGGAAAAATAAGCTCCATGTTCAACTGAAGCAAAGTGTAAGAGTGGATTAGAGGGTGATATGTGTAAAGATACCAGAGGGAATCCCACAGTTCGAGCAGTGAGGTGAAGGAGAGCCACAAAATACTTTCAAGTAACCACAAAACACAATTTAATAAAACAGAAGACTAACAGGACGTTATCTGAACTAGTAAAGGGAGGAAAGATTTTTTTTTTAACCACATTGTTCTGAAATGTGAGAATTAGAGCAATACATGCTCTCCATGTTGCCTCTTTAAAGCATTAAAATACAATTTCTTGACGTTTTACATGATACACATGAAAAACGTTAAATTAAATCTAGCTGCTGCAGATCATTTTAATTTCATGCATGAATAATGCAAAAGTATTCTGTTATTAATATGTCACCCTTCTTCTTCTTCACAGCCAATCTCAGAGTTTAATGTCAGTACGAACCAGATAACTTTCCTCTTGTTTGGTAAGGACTTCCTTTGAAATGAGCTAAACTCCCCAACAACCACCTCCGTTCACATACAGTACAATCTGTGCCATACGCTGTAAATGAAATAGAACCTGCAAACATAAAGATGCATATGTTTTTCTTCTCACCTCACTAAAGATTCCCTCCAAACACGACCTTAACATTTCTGCACCAGATAGAGGAATCTGATGAACTCTGCTCAGCAGTCAATATTGATGCTGGAAAGCAGCTCCTCCAGAGCCTCCAGCTTCTGATTGGCCTCCTCGATGGCGCTGTACGTCTGCACGTTGCTGGCGATGTGGAAGCGGATGTCGTCCACCAGAGGGACAGAGTCCGTCTCCTGTCGCTCCTCCAGCGACGCAGCGTCCTCCTTTATCATCTCGGCAAACTCGTCCTTCTCCACCAGCTGTGGACAGAGATGGCAGGTACACAGGCGTGAATGCATCTGGAGGAGGAACTGGATGTGTCTGACCTGATCATCTAGAGCTGCACCATAAAGCATCACAGTTCTATTTTTTTTTATATATTTTTCTGTTTTGCCTTAAGTAATTTTAGATTCATCATCATTTTATCTTTTTCTCAAAATGACCGTCAGCTACTTCAGACCTCGCTAAATGAATCAAGGAGTAAACATTACAAACCACAGTCAGTAACACCCAGGTTTGAAATCACAGGTAACTGAGCCACGATGAGGGTCACACAAAGACGCCTACCCGCTCAATGATCTTTGCCATGAACTCCGTGCACTGATCCTCCAGCCGAGAAAGACGGAAGAGCTTGGCCGTCTTCCACATGTGCAGGACGTTGTCCTCACAAATCGCCTTGGCGAGCGTCTTCCCGCAGAGACGCTTCAGCCCCGGCAGCAGGTACATGTCAGCCACGCACAGCACGTCAAACACGCTGTCCATCGTCAGCTGGACGGGGAAGAAGAACCGATCAGCGTTAAAGATGAGCGCATTAAACGAAAAGTGTTGACAATCCCGCTGAATGGAAAACATCACTGTTGTGGTAATTTAATAAATGATTTTTAAACTTTTCAACATTACATTAATCCACTTCAACAGATAAATGAATTTCCTGAAAAATAAAAATCCTATGTAGAAAATGGCATAACTACACTTAAATTTGTCTGATAATAAAATTGGGTTGATGATTTAAATCGTTTAAACCAGAATAAATGGATCATTCTTTTTCACAGCACTTTAAAAGCTTCCGACTGTATTCACACACACACACCTCTGTGTCATCAGTGTAGATGTAATACATGATGTGAATAAAGACTTCATGGGAGATGTTGTGCAGCGTTATCACCGGGGTGCTGGGCTGCGAATGCAGCTGCTGGCCCTCACTGAAGTGGTCCTCCAGTAAGGCCTTAAAATAATCACTGCGCCCGCAGAAAAAAGCCTGAAAACACACATTATGAAAATCTGACATTACCAGAACAATAATTTTAGGGTTTGGATTCACGTTTGTGGGCTTTGAAATTCCTTACCTTGTGACATAAGAAATCGAAACCCTCCACTCTGAAACAGATATCAGGGTAAGTAGGGAACAGATCAACCCTATTAAAGGGAAGTTCACCAAATCCAACCTGGGGCAAAAAGAAAGAAGAGTATGTAAGTAGCAGTTGTTCTGTGTTTAGCATCAGGATTTCACTGGGTTTAGCGTCTCACTCTTAGTTCAGTGGGTAGTGCACAGTCTGCCAACTGGGCCATCTCCTCTTGGAGCTGACAGGTGTGAGGCTCAAGGCTAAGAACTTTGACACAGGTTCCAGGCTTGTTGGACACTTCCAAAATGACAGGAGAAGAAAAAGAGACCTTTTCAGATTATAATTCATGGTGAACCAAAACAATCAAAGCTCCAGAGGAGAAAAAGAAAGAGATAAATCAGCAATATGAATTATGAACTACACAATGCACATATTAACTAGCAGTCTTACCAAATTCATAGACCTGTTTACATTTATTCTCCAGTTCTTCCATAAGGTCTGCCATCTTGCACTGCTTAGCGAGTCGCCTGCAGTCTTCCACCAGACTTATATCAATATCCATTCGTCCTGTAACATTATGAAACAACTAATAAAGTTCACACTTTTTTGTTAGGCATTTTTTTAAATTAGTCTAATTAGAGTTAAGTAGGTTGTTTTCTATTTATTTCAGTCTCTATTTTCTTTTGTATTAAAATATAGCATAGATGAAAAAAGAAAAGAAAAAAAAACACTCACCGGTATAAAAATATTGAAGAATTGCTCCAAAGGCTGCAGGATTGATCTAAAATCAAAACAGTTTTTGTTCCAATAAAATAAAGTTGATCACTTGAAGGAGACAAATTTATTTATTTAAGTAAAATTCTACATTACCAAGGGATGTTTGAGGGTTATAAGGTTCTTTCCTTTCCATTTTGTCTCAAACATTTCGGTGAAGTACTCTGAACGTGCGCTGAGAACACACCGGTGAGCTGCAAACATTTGTCCATGAACCAGGAACTTGACATCACTGTGCTGACCTTGCTCTAACAACCTGAAGGGAAACAGCAGGGATATGTTTTATACTAAACTGTTTTACCTTTGCAAGCTTTAGGAATATATTTGTGTTTTTTCCCCCCCCAAAGTTAATACCCTAAAAAAGAGAAAATCTTCACACTTACATGTGTAGGAAGTAATTAAAATCATTGCGCTGCATGGCACGGACGCTGACGCACTTGTAATCTTTGAGCAGGCGTCTGATTGAGTCGTTCAGGGAGCCATACACACATCTTTCACCATCGAATGTGTTGGCTTCACACTTGGCCCCTGGAAGTAAATCCACACAAAAAAAAAACAAAAAAAACAATCAAAATCTAGAATCCTTCAGCAAACATCCTTTTATTATGAAAATCTCACTTTATCCAGTGAAAATTCAATTTTACCACTAGCCAACAGGTACTGGACCAGCTCCTCGTGGCCACAGAGGCATGCATAGTACCTACAGGAAAAGCAGCTCTTTTTCTTAGGATACTGTTATGATAATGCTTTGTAGTAAATAGCATTAGAATAACTGCAGGTCTGCAAACATACTTACAAAGGTGTGCTGTCCCACTTATCTCTCACATTGAGGTCCACATCCCTTTGTTCAACAAGGTACCTTAAAGAGAACCATAAAGCCTGATCTGTGAGCATATTCAGTTTACCATCAGTCCTTATCCTCCGTTTTAAGTCAGGGAGAGGTTTTATTTATAGGCAATAAAACAAAAGAATTTATGAAAAAAATTAATCTGAGACAGACAATACAATACATGCAACAAAGTAATGTTTCTTTGCAAGGAAAAAAAAATCTAAGTATTTTGTTTGAAATGTCTATTTTTATTTGTACCACTAATCTGAAATTCATTGCTATGAATGTAATTTCTGTATAATTATTACTATCATCATCGTCATCATCATTACTATTATTACAGGTAATGGTCACATAGTTTATATTTTAATGATAGTCTTTTTATATGTTTTACGGTGTGGACTAGGAGAAGGATTTACTATTCAGTTGTATGCCATTTTGTTTATTTTGTCTGGGTTCTTTTAACATGATCAAAAATAAAGTATTTTCCAAACGACACTACACAGTAAAGTAGTACTAAATCCATATTTCACTCTTATTTTACCCATAAAGTAAAATTACATCAGCAATAGTGACTTAGCTGTGCACGTTGTTAGTATTCATCTGATGGGTGAAAATGTCTTTCTAGTTATTTATAAAGCACCTTAAAATAACCGAAGGTCCACAAAGTGCTGAACTTGTACACAATATCAAGAAATCGATACGTTAAACACAGTTGAAATAGGCAAATTAAGTTAGTTTAATTAGAGTAGAACGTGCAAAAGGCTTAAGCAAATAAATGTTTTAAGACAAAAACCGAAAATGTATCTTATAGAAAAAGACTTAATGCTGTATATCGCTGCAAAATACAGCAAGCAATATTAAAGATTTTAATGTTAAATACTGCACACAAAAACTCTGACCTACAAACGTTAGCCTGACAAGCTGGGTCATCGGTGCTAATGTTAGCAATCTTCCGCTTCTGGTTCCGAGCAAAAACATCGTTTAACAGCAGTTAGCGGGACAGGACAGGGCTAATTATTTATTTTTCTTTTATCGCACATCTATGTCAGGTGTCAGCCTGATGAAGCAGATGCTTGTGAAACAATGTTTATGCAAACCAAAACGACGTTAACAGAGCCGCTGGTTACCTGACTCTACAAATGTCGCCCTTTCTGCAACTACTAAACAAGTCGTACACATCCATGGCCGCCTCGGAGTTCTCGGTCCTCTGAAATGCATTGAGACAGCCTGTCTGCCGGTTTGGTGTGGCTGCAGGTGGAGCTCGAAGGACGAAGAGAAAGTTGACAGTGTCTCACACCTTGTTGACAAATCGCCGCTGCTGCCTTTTCGAAGCCTCTGTGTTTTCGTTAAAGGGGCCAGTCACGTGACTACCAAGCTTACTTTAGTTGACTTACGGAAACGTAGTAACCCGAGAAGCCGAGACAAGAACAAATGTGAGATGTGTAGTTAATGCTACGGTAATGTTACAAATGATTTCGACATTTTTGTACATTTTTATTTAAATACTAACACAGTATTTTTTTTACAAGAGTTAATTTAACTGACCGAGTTTTTTTCTCTCTGTAATTTGGGAATATTCGAGCTAACTTGTGTAGCTTGAATGCAGCACATGTCAATGCGTTCAATCATCCTCAAAACAAGATTTAAAAACACAATTGTGCAAAGACAAAAAAGATATAGGTATAAAATATTGACTATTTATTGTTTAAATATATTTTCCTTTTTTATCTTTATTTTTCTTGCTGTTTTGTGAACAATTACAAATGAACGTGATCAGAACATTATGCTCAGCAGTTTGTTTGGTGACTTACAGCAAAAGTGTTAACTTCAGCTTGTTTCATGTGGTCAATGCAGATGTCCCAGCAAACACATAAATTATTTATATGTTTTGCTTACAGTAAAGGAGCATGTTTACAATAATTCATGGTCACTGGCAGTGGGAAGACTGTGTCAAGATTATCAAGAACATCAGGCGGTCTTAGAGGAACTCAGTCTTGGGAAATATTGGATGTTTCAGCATGACAATGATCCAAAGCGGTAGTCCTGTCTTAAATCTAATATAAAATCGGAGAAGGGAGCATATGGTGATGTCAAAGTGATCTGCAACTTCAAACACCTGAAGCTCATCACCAGAGATGAATGGATAAAACTACCAGTGAAAACATTCACAAAGTTAGTCAGTAATAATGAGACATGTTTGGGTGCTGTAATAGTCATGGCTATCATAAAACTTTAAAGACATGACACTTTTTGACCAAACGTGAATTAAAATATATTTGTATCTATTTGTAATTTAAAAATGAGATTTTTTATTTATTTATTTATTTTTTGTTTAATAATAAATTTAAATCCAAATCTGCCAGAATTAGGAATAATTTTGGGATTAACTGTATATTTCAACTTTGCAAGCCCACTTTATGTTTCTAATGCTTTAAATCAAACACCCCATGATATGTATTTACTTACAGTAAAGGCACTCTGGGAAGTACCACCGTAAAGCCAGTTGAGCATTCTCTAAAAAGCACTGAACTGACAGCACGCAAACACATACTATAAAAGTAAAAAGTATTTGAATAAAAACAATAAAGAATCAGAATAAAATACACTAAATAGCCAAACAAAATCACAAACAATTTGCAAAAACCATTTCAACACATATGTTCTGGCTACATACTAAATGAAACAGTGGTATTTGAAATCTTCTAGTCACTTCGTTCATTCAACTGAGGCAAGTTTCTTTTTCAGATAGGAGATCTGAAGCTGAAGCTTTTCTCGCTGCAGCAGGAGGATTTCTTTCTGCAAGCTCATCACTTCATCCTGCAAACTCCCTTAGAACAGAGAATACAGGGAAAACATCACTGTGATTAGAAAGTTGTGTTTTTATTTTTGCTTTTAAGTTCAAATGCATTTACTATTTTTACTGGTTTTTATTATCACTTATACTATTAAGTCAAAGTTACCAAATGTATAATCGGTTTAATTTATCTTAATTTCTGGGTTAGTCGTGATCAGAAAATATGAAAAATATGATCAGCATAGTGACAGTGAAGTCCTGTCAGATCTGACTGAACACAAAGGCATGCCGTAGCACTGCAAAAGAAAAAAAATAGGAGCTTGTTAGGCAGCTCATGTAGTTCCTGGAAAGGCTGCGTGGAAGGACTGGTAGTCTCCCAGCAATGTAAAAAAAAATACATCACATTTCTGATTAGTTTTCTTTGTTAATTTCCACGTAATAACCTGCGGCAGCAAGTTGATTGACAACTACACCATTTTCACAACAAGCTGAATCAATCAGCAGACAAGCGCCTGGTATGAAAGGCCCCACTTCAGTACAGAAGAGATACAGAGCAAAAATAAATAATATGCAGATTTTTACTGCAGTGCAAAAAAATTAAAAGTGTTTTGACAGACGAACAATAGTTCTTATTATGAGCAATGTCCTGTTGTTCTGCTCAACTTTTATTTTCTTTGCAACATTTTGTGTCCAAAATAATCTGTTTCTTTTATGAAAGGTTATCAAACAAGATAAGGTCTGATTCCCTGAGACTTTCAATTCTTTGATAAACCATGTTCTTTTGACTGAAATCATTCAAACATGGACCTAATCCAAACTAATTTTTTTTGTCTGTTTCATTGAGGGTGTCCTATTCAAGAAGTACAAGAAATAACTGAGTTTATAGCATATAATGTGTTTTTATTGCCCTCTCATTTTCTCTGTAGTCTTTAAGTTAAGTAAGGCAAAAGTATTTCCTTTAATAAATACTTTAATTCCTTTAATTAATAGGAGATATTTTTTGCTTAATCTTTGAATTTTTAGTATACAAATGCAGAACCTGAAGGAACTGGCTTTTACAATCACTTTGAACCTGTGGCGTTACCTCCAGTCCTCACAGGTCAGTGTTTTGTGTCTATTGAATTTAATGGTTAATTTATATCCATTGCAATGTCATCACATTCTGCAGGGAAATGTGAACAACCTATTTGGTGTGTAGAAGTGGGGAAACAACTAAAAATGCAACACAGCTGCACTCATTTGGACAATGTGATAACACAATGATCTACATCTATCCTCAAACTAATTAATGCAACAGCAACTTTTAACTGAACACATCACAAATCTAAATATTTTCCAAGTTAAAACACACTCCCAAATTCCATACATATTTGAACTGCAGCCTCGCCCTCAAGCACAACTGCAGAAGTTCAGAGGAAGCAATCATTAAGTAAATATTCATTTAGCTTCAGTGACCTTCCTTTTAACACTTAGTAGTCATAATAAATTACAATTGAATTGTTACCTGTTGCAGCTCTGCTAACTGATCCTGTAGCGTTTCCACGTCTTGCCAGCCAGAAAGGAGACGCACTGATTAATTCGACCTCAACCGGATAATGATCGCTGACTCTGAGCGCCTAGTGGAGCATGTTTGCACTAAGTCAGGAATATTTAACTAAGTGTTAAATATTCCTGTATGAATATTTAACAGGAAAAGTATTTTCCTGTTAAATATTTCCTTATGTAAAAGCTTTTGCTTTTACATAAAGAAAAGCTTATTTAAGCTCACCATATCTCACCATTTTATCTGTCAGGTTAAACTCTTTCTGGAAATTAAAGGCCTTGGCAGAGTTTGGCACTATGGTTGCCAACAGATCATCTCCATACACAACAATCCTGCATAAGAAATAAGGTTTCTTAATTGAGCTTGGGTATTGAAGCTTGTGTTCCAAAGGCACAATGCCTGTCATAAGCTCTGTAAAAATAAACCTTGCCTGTCGTAGGTGTGATTATTTGTGGTCACTGAAGTTGTATCCACATCATCAGCAATTAGCCAGTGGAAATTTATGTCACTGCGTATTCGAATGTTTTGCATTTCCTTGTCGGTGACAGAGGCACCGTCTGCTCTGAAATCCCCCAGGATCATTACGTTCTAGAAAGAAAGGGAAATAAAAGTAAATAAAACCATTTCTTGCAGAGCTCTATGAATTATTAATGCCCTCTGAAATTTACATTTTATCATATTACAAACACAAATTTCAATGTGCTTATTGGTTGCTTTTGGTGATAGATCAATCCAAAGTAGTGCATCGCTCCTTCATCCTTACGTTCCTTCCCTCGGGGGGGCGGGGGAGGGGGGCGCCGATTTATGTTTTAGAATCGACCTGAATAATGTGCAGTTGCGCCACTGCCTCCGCCTCTTGTTTGTTTTCAGATTTGCCCTGGTTTGGTTCCATCCACTTTTGTATCAACTCAAACCATCTGCCCTGTTCATGTTAAAGGAACAACTGACCTCACCTGTTTGACCTGTTCACAAAACAAATGGAAAAGAGATCCAAGACCTGCCATTAAGTGTTTTGTGGAATGGGTTATGGTGTTATTACTTCACCTTACGTTATCTTTGACTTGTCTACTGCATCACTTTGTCTTCATTACACTCTTAGTTAACTAATTTATACTGAGGTTAAATTACATGTGGATTCTGATTAGGTTTCTTGAGTTTTAGAGCTTTGTGCTACTTTGTCTGATATTATTGCATCATAGAATCCCCAAAAGGTTTGTGGCTCACTGATGTGAGGTAAATCTCACATCAGTTAGCAGCACTGATAACGCCGTGATATGGCAGTTTGTGTCAAATGAGCTCAAATTCTTACATCAGTTTTCCATTTGTCTCTGACCATCAGGAAGACATCATACAGCTCATCCAGTTCTTTCTCTGAGTCCTGAGGTGTGGCACGAACTGGGATCAGCGCCAAATCCTTCAGCACTGCAACAAATATGTAACATTCATGAAACTGCACGTGTGGCAGGAGAGAGCACAAACCTGACAAACTTGCTATTTCTCCCTTCTACTTATACGTCAAAATAAATCTCCTTTATTCAAACAGGAGAGACAGACGCGGTCATGCAGCCATGACTCAGACAAGCAGCAGACTCCACTAAATCTTGGAACTCTGACAACGCTGCCTGTTTGTGTTAAAAGACGAGCTGCAGAAGCTGACCAGTGTTGTGAGGTTTGAAGTAGAGAACGTAAGGCTCCCTTGCGAACGCATCCACATCGTTCTCCTGATTGTCTTCATACTGATAGGAGTCAATCAGATCCACCATGTCATCCCTGAAAGTTGAATAAATATGTCTCATTTAAACAGCTCTGTGTTGCGGCGCTGAGACAGTCGACACGGCGACGGCGTTTACCTGTAGAGAAACATAAACTGCTCCTTGTATCTGGTCCTTCCCAGGCGGGCGCTGAGCTGCAGGGCGTAGTGGTGGGACGTGTTCACCCTGAGACACTCTCAAAGGACGGCCGGTTATTTTTCTACTCTCAAAGGCTTAAAGTGAGTTTGGCTTAAAGGGCAAAAATAAAAACATACAGTCACCTGTTCAGTTCTGCCAGGAACAGCTTGATGGAGGCCCCACTCACATCCACCACCTCCAGAATAACTATGATGTCATATCGAGACACGATCTATAAAAGGCAAAGGCTTCTGTTACAATACAGGATCTACAGTGGAATAAAACACACTCAGGCTCTGACTAATGTGTGACATTGATGGTTTCTATTTATTTATTTATTTGAAGGTCTTCATAAAGCATCGAAACACTATCACTTAATTAGTTTGAAGAATTTTCATTTTCAGATTTAAAACTACTCCTGGCTGCTCTCCAAAAATGACAAGATTTTAAAGGCTCTTTGTAAATATAATTGTGATTATGTGATGAGTTGATCACAGGGTCCCTGCTGCCTGATAAAACACATGGAGCTTCTGAAAGTAGCCATGTCTGATTTTTGTTTTTACCTTAACAAGAGTTGACAGGACATCTGGGTCTGAGACTTTAGTCACTCCAAACCTCTGTGCGTTGAATGAAGCAATCTTCATGCCTGACAAGAGATAGGGAAACAGTTTTCTAAAACATACATTTAAAATTATGCTTTTTGAATCCCTAACTTGAATTACCTCTGATAATGTACACACACTATATAAATGTCTTCTCCTCAGCAGCAGGTAGTACTGGTATCCAGCATTAATTTGTATCCAATCCCATGAGAAACTTATGTCTCTACCGTTTTTTTTTTTGTTGTTGTTTTTTTTTCATTTTTGTTTTTTTTTTTTCAAAGGTAGACAGATGATTGGTTTGTTGCCATCACGGGGACAAGAGGGATCATTTGTACTGAGCTAGTACGTTTTGACAGCAAGTGGTCAGACAGGTTATATTGTTCAGTTAATGGTGATTAGGCTTGGTTAAATTCAAAGTCACTGTGCAAAGAAGAAATGTTAAAAAAGAAAGGAACCTCACCTTCCATCTTAAAATCTTCTCAGTGCTGCTAAACTAAGTCTAGACAAGACAGTAAATGTCAGTTCACACAACTTCACATTTGGCATTAGAGTACTTTGACCAAATCATCACCACCATGCTTCCTCCACTGGTATTGCATTAACCCCATCTGTGAGGCATATAAAAACTGATAAAACCTCAGTTTTTATAGAGGTGCTTTCTCTTCCTTTTGCCAATTGAATCAGCTGTATTTGACTAATATTACTTGGTTACGACTTCCTACTTAAATACTGTGAAAACAGGAGGCTGCGCTGCAGCTTTTCATTTTTTTAACAACACACCGTGCTGTCGAACAGTCTCTGCCCCTTTACATATTTATTTTGTTTTTCTTTTACATTTCACTCAAATGTTTCAGATTTTCAAATTATAATATGTTATATTTTTATTATGTTTTATAATATATTTTTAAAATTACATATAGATAACCCAAGTAACTACAAAAGTTGGTTTTGGAATGATGGTTTTTATTTTCTATTTTATTTTATTTTTATTTTTTTAAAAGCTATCTAAATCAACCTTTGTAAAATAGCTGTTTGTTAAATCATAAATTTCCTCTGATTGACCACTTGATTGATTGATCTTTACTAAAGAGAAGTAAGATATTATTTGAAGAGCTCTGACCAGATCTCAAAACCCGCCACATTAAAAAACTCGCCCTGAATTTAAAAAAAAAAAAAAAAAAAAACAGATGAAAATTAAAGTCATTGAGATCCTTTGGTCTGAAGACGATTACAAAGATGCTTCTAAAGCTTTTGGGGTTTTTTGAACCGTAATGAGAGCCGTTATCCACAAATAGAGAAACACCAAACAGTGGTGAGCACTCAGTGGATTGGTTGGCTGAATGTGACCTTTTGAAACATTCTAGTGTGACACAAGAAATCACAGAAGCTGCCACATCCGCAACGTCATGAATGCATCTAATTACTGCCTTGCGCAATTGATGATTGGCTCCTTGTTTCTGAGTTGCAATGATTCTTTCCATATTTTTAAGGTAGTTTGCCTTCTGCACATACAAACTGGAATCTTACATAGGAACCAGTCAAATTACCTCAAACAACACCTGGCCTTCAAATTCTAGACAATGGCCGTGCAGAAAATCCTCCCAAGGCCACATTCCATTCACTCATAATCCAAGTTAAGAAAAGACACAAAGCCTGGGCTCAACAGCCGTAGAGTGGAGCTAAATGCTTTTATTTTGAAAGATAAACAAATGGAAGTATAAGAATAGAGAAACAACAAAAAATGCTGCCCGACTGCCATGGCGGGGAACACATAAACAAAGGGGATCTGACACAGTGCAACAGAACATATGGACGTATAGTGAGGGAGATAATAACACGGTGTGCGATAATAAGTACCTGAGAGCAGGGGGGAGGAGAGCAGGAAGCAAGACTTGCTGAGAAAATCAATCACAAACTGTAACAAGAACAAAGATCTACAATGAACTGTTTCACAAAACAGATCAAAACCACAAACTTCATCACATTTTGGGAGAAATTGTGTGCACGATCAACATAAAGTAGTGCATATGAAGGGGAAGGAAAATAAAATGTAGTTTTAAGACTTGTTTATACTATTATTCTTAAAGAAGTGCCTGCATTTTTGTCAGTACTTTGTGGAACCGGTATCTGCAAGTCTTTTGAGATATCAATCTATCAACTTTCCTCATCTAGAAACTAAAATTGTTGTCCACTCCATTCTTGCAAAACAACTCGAGATTATCTTCAATTACTTAACCCTGCTTTAGTTTTCTCCACAACTTTATCCATGACTTGTTGTTGCTGTGTACTTTTGTTCTCAGGAAGCTGTTTTTCAGCAAAGTTCTCCAACTAACATCTGAGGCCTTTATTCGCACATGCATGTATGCTGACGTTAGGATTCACTCTAAGTAATCCTAATGACGAACTTGGAGAGTTCTGCCTCCAGGACTCTCTGAGTTAGTGGATTTTATTTAGGGGTATCAGAATACACGACAGAAAACGTATCTGATGCATGTTGAGAGTCGATATTATAACTAAGTATTTTGTAAAGAAAACACCAAACGAATCTATAGTGAAGAGAAAACCTTGAAGATGTTAAGATGCCAGAATTCCTAACAGGTTTTGGGTGGCGTGCGTGTGGGCTTCATTTTGTTTCATTTAAGCAAACTGAAAGGTGTGTCTGAAAGACGATGTGGCTCTGTGTCTTTTATCTCCGAACCATAACTGGATTTGTTGAAAGGGATACGTCAAGAACAGAAACACGACCTGCTATCAAATTCTCTTTTTGTTCAAAAGAAAGATGTTAGATGATTTTTTACTCCAATATTATTTAATCATACTTTCCACCGTTTATGCAGTTTGCTGTTCACCAACTGATGTTTATAATAACATAGCCTTCTTCATCTGTGTTCTTCCAACAGATGCTTTCATATGTTCTTATCTTTACAAATCTTAACACACCCAGTGCTTGCACCCAAAATACACTTCGAATCCATTTAAGATTCTAAAACCAGAGCTGATGAGCAAGATTAGATTACAGAGGAACAATTAGAAGGAAACATTTTTACAGCCGGGGTAGGTGGGAGTAAAACAAGTAGCAGATGTCTGACTGGTAAATCTGCATTCATGCAACTTCACAATCACACCACACCCAGGTCTTTGCTGTATAAAGTTGTGAAAACAGATAAATGTGCACAAGAGAGCTCCAGCACCACCTGAACTCAGTACAACTTCCAACAGAAATCTCATCATGAGTGTAAGGATCAAGAAGAACAGGAAATCTGGACTTTATTCCGCCTCTGAAGGCTTCACCAGCAAGTCCATGGGATTCAACCCGGTTCCCAAATCCAGCACCACAAACAATGTGGTTCCCATTAAACCTGTCACCGTAAACAAGAGCCTCCTTACTCCTCTGAAGATCTACATCGATCCTGAAGTCCAGGCTCTGCGTACCCAGGAGAAGGAGCAAATTAAAGGTCTGAATGACCGCTTCGCATCACACATCAAAAAGGTAAGGGGGAAAATTCTGGTAAAAAAAAAAAAAATGTCTCCCATCAAAACCTGTTTACAGATTTTTTAAAAATCAGTTTCACCCTAAAAAAAAATCTGCAATCAGTGGGGTACGACCATGAGGCTCATTTCTCTTAGCTACTCTTCAAAATGGGAAAGCTGGGAGAACATGTCATCAGTGATGTTTGCAATTAACAATAAAAATAAGTAGCCCTGTTTTTCATTTTTACAAATCTGTAAGAATAACTTAGCCCCAATGTGACTAGTCTTTGAAGGTGTTTTTTGGTTGTTGTTTTTTTATGCAGCTCTTAATATAAAGTTCCCCTGATGCCAAAACCATTGAAATGCTTAAAGGTTTCATAGCCTTTTTCACAGTTATATTCTGTTCAGAATATATGGTCCAAATACTCAGAAAAATTACTCTTAACATGGGAAACTTCAGCATCATTAATCCGCATGACCATGTTTTATAATAACCTCCAATCCTTGTGGAATGGACGCAGCAAAAATTTTTAGCAGAACTGACAGATTTTTTTTTCCCACTAACTGCTTGTGTCATCCACTTGAGAGAAGGAGGTGAGTCACATGGCCCTTTCAGAAACTTCACTGCATGCGTTGGAGTAATGCAGCTGTGTGCGTTACTTTATAGTCTCCGAACGTACAGTCAGGTCATTATCTAAAAGTTTAAAGCAATCTAATAGTGACATTGAAAACTGGAGGTTTGACTTGGAATTACGCAGTGAGGAGGATGGAAGGTGTCCACCGGTTTTCCAAAGATCACCGGTGGATACTGTTGTAGGTGAAGGATGTGTGAAGAACTAATATTACTAGCCTCACAGTGGATATTTTAGAGTTCAAGAACAATCTTCCCGACTGGATGGACCTGCTTTGTGCTTCTGTTCCAGGTCCAACTGCTGGAGCAACAGAACCAGATGCTGGAAACCAAGTGGCAGCTCCTGCAGAGTCAGGCAGCCTCTTCCTCCAGTACTGAGCTCATGTATAAAGCCTTCATCGCCAACCTGCAAAAACAGCTGGAAGGCCTCCACAACGACGGCAAGCGTTTAGAGGCTGAGACGAGTTCCTGGAATGGTGCGCTGGAGAAATTCAGATCAAAGTGGGACATTTTTGTCTGCGAAACAGATTTCAGTTGAAGAGAGGTAAGATCAGCACAAGTTACAAGATATTTGTGGTTGTTTCAGGTATGAAGAAGAGGCCAGCAAGAGGACTGACTCAGAGTTTTGCTTTGTACAACTCAAAAAGGTAAAAAAAAATAAATAAATAAAATCATGCACATGAAAAAATATGACATTTTTCATTTTTATGTTTGTAAAAATTATAACATTTTTGGAAATTGCGAAACATTTCAAACACATATTACTGACTAAACAGTCGTCGTTTCTTGGGTCACCAGGATGTGGATGCAGCATTCACCTCTAAGGTGGAACTAGAAACCAAGTTGTCAGATCTTACTGAAGAATTCAACTTACTCCAAGCTGTTCATAATGCTGTGCGTAACCTCACTTCTTAACTAATGAAATTTATAGGGATGTGATTTTTACTCGGATTTTGTTTTCCTTTTTTTTTTTTCTTTTTTTTTTCAAATAAAAGGAGATGACAGAGCTAGTGGGCACCCTGAAGGACACCTCCGTGGTGGTGGAGATGGACAACTCCCGCAGCCTTAACATGGACGAGATTGTGTCTGATGTTAAGGCTCACTATGAGGAAATTGCTGCTCAGAGCCGTGAAGAAACAGAACGTTGGTACAGAACAAAGGTGACAAAGAGACTTTTTTATTTCATTTTCTTTATGCTTTGGCAAACATTTGAGGAAAATATTAACATAATTTCAGAATCTGTACCACTAAAAATGAGAGAGGGGTGGGGAGATAAAAACTACCTAACTTCAGTACATTTTTCTTTTTCAGTGTGGCATAATTTCTAAATTAGCTTGGAAATTTTTGCTTTTAACAAAATCCACCACAATTATTGACACCCCTGACATCCATCCATCCATCTTCTTACACCCTTGTCCCCAGTGGGGTCAGAAGGGTTGCTGGTGTCTATCTCCAAAGAGACATTTCGGGCAAGAGGCAGGGTACACCCTAGACCAGTCCATCACAGACACCCCTAACAATCTCTTTAAAATAAACTTGTGGTTGGAGCATTTTATCAGTGGTTGTAGCATTTTCGGCACTCCACACACTGTGAGCAACTTCACTAAGTGAAGAACAAACATGATGTAGCCAAAAATGCACAAGACAGACAGTCTGTTAATGTGATTATTTCTGTTTCAACACAAGTTTTGTCCTCTGATGTTAGTTTCTATCTGCTGAGCATACAGAGATATGTGAAAGTCAAATAGACACAGTTAGCACTACATATTTTTCTCTGGAAGTTTTTGCTCTGTTCTAACATACATATACACGTTACTTACTGTATGTAGTAGATTAATATGTTTTTTTTTTTAAATCAAAATTAAAATAACTGAAAACTGTTATTTAAAACTGTAAATATGTTATTTGTTTGTATGAATATTTTTCTTTATAGTCCTTAAAAATCCCAAACTTTGGCAAAGTTTATTAGATAGACCTTTTTCCACTGGTGCTATTTATCTGATATGATAATTACTGTTTCCTTCTCTTCAATCTACGGCCCACGGATACCAGATTGACCTGATGACAATCCAAGCAAACCAGTATGGTGATGACCTGCATTCCACCAAGGTGGAAATAGCAGAAATGAACCGACTGATCGGTCGCCTGCAGCATGAAATTGATGTTATAAAACCACAGGTGAGGAAGAGAGGACTGCTCTCTGTCTCTGTCTTAAATTTAAGGATCTAACTAATTTAAAAAGTCTGCAAAACCAAACGCTGTCTGTCAGAGCTTTTAACCACCATATAGCATATATGAATATATGGTACAATCATATATGAATATATGAAATCACACTTCTTATTAATCCTTAAAAATGACTGAAAAACACACGTTTACACCACTTTTCTATCTTGTACAGTGTGACAGAATTCAGAACAGCATTTGTGAGGTGGAATCAAATAGGGAACAAGCTGTGTTGAACGCTAAAAACCGCATCAAGGACTTGGAGAAAGCTTTGATGGAAGCAAAACACGTCATGGCTAAGCAGATCAGAGAATACCAGGAACTTATGAACATCAAGCTGGCCCTGGATATCGAGATTTCCACTTATATGAAATTGATGGAAGGAGAGGAGGACAGGTGAGAGCTGCTAAAAATCTATCCATTTATAATTCATATCAGTGATTTATCTTTCATTTAATTTTGGATCTATTTTTATGTAGGTTTTCTTTGCACAAGATCATACCTAAGCCAGAAATATATACATTTTTTTTGTTGCTTTGTTGCTTAACTTATTATTTAAGAAATTATTCTCATGAAAACATGAACGTCAACATGCTTCCAGTTTTTACCTTAGATTAACGCGTTATGCAATACTGCCCTCTTGTGGCGAAGACATGCACGTCGGCATGTCAAATTATGTTACTTCGTGGGGAAATTTGGGAAATGTCATCAACGATGTGTTATCATTATTTTTAATAATCGTTATCACAATTAAAAAATAATACAAAGTCCTATACAATACACTTAAACATGTTTATGTGTGTGAACAAATGTAAGAAAACTGTGGAATGAATAACACTTGCTAGAGCAAGTCATTTCCCTCTGCACCAGGTAAAGGTTGTAGTTCTGTTTGATGTAGGGTGAATTGAGGAATACTGGGACATCAGCTGATTTAGAACAGGATGAGTAAAAATGCATTTAATCTTTAATGCCCTTCATTTGCATACCTGTCTGCTTTTTCATCCCCAGATTTGGACAGAAGACTGTGGTTAATATCCGCTCAGCACCAATCAGACATGTGAGCTCAGCGCCCGTCCAACATGTGAGCTCAGAACCCATCAGACATGTGAGCTCAGAACCCATCAGACATGTGAGCTCAGAACCCACTCAAAGTGAGTATGAGGGTATCATAATGTTGATGTATTTTTCAACCATTTTTGACCTCTGAAAACATACTAGTAGACCTCTTATTTGTCCATAATCTGCCTATTTTCTCTTTCTGAAAAAAAAAAAAAAAAAAAAGTCCCTCGAAGCAGCAGTAAATTATGTGTGTTTCACCTGTTTCAACATCCTATTTCCTGACAGCTAACCATCAGCAGCGGAGATCGGGGCCGATTCTCATCAAAATGATAGAGACCCATGACATCTCATACAACTAAAGCAGAACAGACTGCAGTGCACAGGCCTCCCGGATCCCCAGTCTTTGTATTCCACACTGATAATAACATCAGTGGAAAGAGTCGTCTATATTTGCTTGTGTCTCATTGTGTGTCGAAACTCCGATCATCAACCTTCACTGCCTTGAGAATAGTTCGCCCTGAATTTGCTGTCTAAAATAATGAAAGAATATAAACATGCCCATGATAAGGTCCACTGCCACTGTTTCCTTTTCAATGCTTACTGTGTGTGGAAAACATTAAACGAATTAAAAACATTTTTTCTGTGTGGAGTAGATTGTTATAATTTATTTGCTCAGTTCATCAAAAAGAAAATGAAGCAAACCAGCTCAAACATTCAGTTTTCAGATGTTATTGTTGAATGAAATACATCAAATCACCATATCGACACCATAAATTCTTAATAAAATTAAAGCAAATCATAAGCCCCCAAAATTGACTTCCCTTGAAAGCATCCTCTGGATCTTGGGCTCATCTATACTGGGAACCACAACGAGAGGCTGTTAGTTGATGTCCACCTTGAAACCAGTGGGGCCCCAGTTCACAAACTGGATGATGTACTTGGTTTTGATGTTAGCAATGGCAGAAATGACATTTTGGGGCACCACATGTACAAAGTTTCACCTTTTGTACCATGGAGACACGCATGATTAACTCAACACACCTGTGCTATTGTTCAGTCTGAATAATAGGTTAAATACTATGAACACAAGCCTGGCCAGGAAACTACGATTCCCATTCACTTTCTGTAAAAACGCTGTTTTTAAGATTTACTCCTATAAACACTCCATGTATAGAAGTAGAACTAACGGAGAGTGTGAAAGACCAAACCTCCTTAAGGCCCAAACGTGTAACTTATAAAGCAAGGGACTGGGGTTTCAGATAAGTATTTCAAGTTCATTTTCTTTTACACTAAATCTAGTAACACTAACATTGTTTATAAATGGATTTATTTTTTACAGCTGACAATTTCAACATTAGAAGCAAAAGGAGAGAAAAGGTGCGTGTTGAAGTTCTTTGCTTGTAAACTAGCAGCGCATTACTGTCACTTATTGGCTTGGATTGAGGGACAGTAAAAGAACATGCACCAACAAAACAGCTCCAAACTGCGTAGAACGATCTACAGAGAGGGTCGTCACGCCTAATCGCCATCCAGGAGGTCTAGGGTCAGGAAAAAGGATGTTTAAATCTCTGCAGACTGCGCTCATCCTCAATATAATGTGTTTATAGACTTTTCAGTAAGTTACTAAAACTTTAGCACCTTTCAAAATAATAATCACAAATGCTTCAACAAACAAAATAATAAATACACAAAACATTTTTTAATCAAAAGGAGATTAAAAACATATAAGTGTTTATATTTTAACTATCCTAATTGAGAGCCAACTCAAATTCCTTGTTTGTGTGCACACATTTGGCAAATAAAGCTGATTCTCATTCTTCTTTAAGTTGAAGTATGACATCATTTCTATTCAAATGAATCCCTCTTTGTTTCCCCCATCCCAAAGTAGTACTAAAACACACTTTTATCTTTTTCTTTTGCGCTTCTTTTAGTCTAAGCTCAACTGCTGAAATCGATTCACGCGTTCCGTATCATTTGTCCTTCTTCTCTTCCCTTAGCAACGGAAGGCTAATCACATGATCAGGTGGGGCTGCCGACGCTGTTGTAGTCGACCTGTGAAGAAAAAAATCAACCTGTCAACAGCACGTTCATTCACGGACACATTTGTGATCATAAATGATCTCCCCCGGTGACTAACGGGTTAGTACGTGTTTATGTGCGAGTTGAAGTTGTTCGTTTTCGTGCCTCTTTGCGCTGTGGGAGAAACAAAAAGCAAAGCAAAGGAATATTAGCCCTGTTATGCTAACATTTTTACTGCTGTCTTTATATGAGGATGAACGCTACAGTTAGACGCAACACCAGATTGAAAAGGGACAAATGGGTTGTTTTAAAAGTGACTTAGATGCCCAGGTATTGTATGTTGTATTACTACACGCTAAAAGATACTGTTACCGTGAGGCATGAATAGTGATGGGGAGACAGCTACATTTAGCTAACTGATCTAGTACAATAAAAACCTCTGTCATGCATAGGTGCATGCCTTTTTAAACTTGTATCGTTTTGAATAAAAGTTAATTTAAACCCTTATACCTCATTCATAAAGCTGCTGCTATATGATTTTACGGTTGTAATTATCTGGAGACTTTAATTATGTTACATTTGAGACGGTTTTAAATCTGGAGGGTGTTTTTTTTTTTTTTTTTTTGGACTTTTATTTAGCAGGGGTGGGTAATTAGCTACGTTTACTTGATTAACTTTTTGAAAACGAAACGTTAAAGTATAGCTACTCTTAATTGAGTAAAACTTCTGCCTTCAATATCCAATGTGAGTAAATTCCCTTAAGGATTAACATGCTTGCTTTGACCTGAAATGGACATTGAAACATGCATAACAGCAGAGAAGAACAGAGTACCAGTACTTACAGAAATGTAAGAGTAGCACTACTTCATCATATTTTTACTCAAGTAAAAATAAGAAGTTATTCAAGAAATTACTCAAGTAAGAGTAAAAAAAGTGTCCTGTAAAAAGGTTACTTAAGTACTGAGTATCTGATCTGAACATCTGATTTCATATTTAAACATTATGTCATCAGTCAGACAAGAACTATAAAATTCTGGTCTTTTAATGGGGGGGAGATATTATGTAAAATTGACTTTTTACATGCTATGGTATTATTGCTTCATCAAAAACATCCCTGAGTGTTGCTTTGATTCTTTCACACATGTTTGAGGAATCCTTGAATCTCCTTTGAGGTGCCTAAGAACACTTGCCCTCACAAAGCGCCGCCTATTTTCTCAGAATCTCAGACTGAACTTTTCAGGAAGTCGACACCTAATATTTTTCACATGTGGGTGTTTCGGTTTGGTGCGTCAGTTTGCTTTGTTTCTCTGCAGCTTCTGGATTTTCTCCGCTAATGTTGTTCTCCTGCTTCAGGTGTTATGGAGCTAACTGAAGGTGGAGGACAAACCCTGTGACATGTTGGCCCAAGCAGAATCATGGCATCTTGGACCTCCTCCTAAACATCACAAGCTCCTAGTGTCGTCATGGCCTCCAGCTATGCACCGCCGTTTGAGGGCACAGGTGAAGTAAAGGAGGGCTTTCTCTGCCCTCTGTGCCTGAAGGACCTCCAGTCTTTCTACCAACTCCAGGGCCACTATGAGGAGGAGCATTCAGGAGACGATCGGCATGTTCGAGGACAGCTCAAGAGTATGTACAGTAGCAGATAATCTTCTTAGTGAAACTGTGTGAGTTAATGGTTTGAACTGATTTCAGCTGAATTTGGATCAATTTAGATTCCATATAACTGAAATATTACAACCAGTTCACCTTCAGACAGGCTGTATGAAAGAAAATATAATTTATTGAAGCAAAGTAGTTGTTATATAAAAACAGCATTCTCTGACAGCAATGCTTTTGAGTCCAGAATAATTTCAGTTGTTTTGTCTTTGTTCTTTTTTTTTT